GTATTCAACAATGGGCCATGGGAATTGACAAAGACCTTAATTTCAATAATTAGGTGGGTCGTTATTTTCATGTGAGGTCGGTGAGGTCGGCATTCATTTAGACAAATATGAGCACATATTGAACACACATTTGAGCACACACACATCTGATCATAAGAAACGACTCATATGAGAGCCCACCGCCTCACCCCACATTGACCTGCTGTTCCGGAGTTCGGGAACGACAGGTATGTTGCGGAGGTGTCAAATGTAATCTCGGATCATTGTATTAATAATTAATAACTTCCGAAGCCGACTTCCGCAGGCATGTGAGACCCTGCACTTCCGAGATTCTAGACTTACAGTAACTTTTCTACAAGTCTGGCGGACCCTGCCATCAAGCGCAGTTGGGAAACTGCTGTATTGTTACATTATCACAACATACCAGTTGATGCTCGCCAATACTCACTCCAAGGCTCACCATTCCGGTAAAGACGCTTCCACCAGCCCCAAGCTGCATGGGAGGCGTGCCACCCTCACTGCCGGCGGCGCCAACATCGCCATGCAGGAGATCGATCTCAGCTGCGGCTGGGCCCGCGATGCCAAGCTCTGGGGCGGCCTCAGCGGCAGCTTCAGCCGCTTCGGAGAAAGTCCTGGAGAAGACACTTCAATGTCATTGCTGAAATTTGAAGTTGACACCCAACCGCCATCAATTGCCCAATTCCACAGGTCATGCAACGCCCAGGTCCTTTCAGGCAGATTGATAGGGCATCGAAGCAACAGAGCTGCTGCGCGAGGGAAACGCTGCGTTATTGCGCGGTCGGCGACCGCAGCCACAGCAGGGAGCGACATGGGGCCCAAGGAACTCACGTCGCCTCTCGATTAGCTTGCTCCTGCTATGTCTGATGCTCCTTTTGTGGAGGAGGGGAGACGAACCACAAATGCCCCGGCATTGACTGCGGCATATTCCGAATGTATCGAAGCATTGGTTCGGTTTCCAAGTGCAGACCATTTCACTGCTCGAAACCATACAACCCAGAATACCACGTCAGGATTGCCAAAAGCAATCCGATTCATTTCGATACTGTGATTCAAGTGTGTTAACCGCGCAAACCAGGCCACACCTCTCCAAGCTCTTGCAGGTCTCTTTTTGCCTCCGGCGTCCGCGAAGGAGTCGCAGATTTACCCCCTACTGCAAAGAGGATGGAAGTGTATCTGTATCAGTGTCAATATCAAGCCGCTGGAACAAGTCATCATTTATCATCATTTCACTTTCTTTTGGCCACCCCAGTGGCTCAATGGGTAAAGTGCTGACCCTGGAACATGACTGCTTAGCCATTGATCCGAAGACTTCCCTATTTGATCCATCAAATCGATGCTGCAACTGCATTGCAACCGATTGCAACTCCACTCCCCATAGCGCCTTCTTGACCTCATCCAGTGGCTCGCTCCCGCGGCGGCAATGCCGGCAGCCCGCCGTGTGCTGGCACGGGGCAGGAGAAGACCCCCAGGCGGCGAAACTTCGAATCCAATCATTCCAATCGGTCTCAAATGATTTCTTCGCTCCTGTTCTTTTTCAGCTTGACCTTTAGACCTTGTTTATTTGTTTTTTGTTCCTCTGTTCACCTGTACTTTTAAGAAAATTGAATGGGGTGCTCTGTATTGCTTTGTGAAGCACACACAATGTTTTTCTTTTTGAACACGTACGGGGGACCCAATCATTGTTCCTCAACCGAATTACCAACACATGCAGCATTGTTCTTCCTTGAGACCCGGATTGAGGACTCTAAATGCGCAGGCAGAGCCAAGGTAAACACTAAAAATATCCAAAAATAAACACCAGCTGGTTCCCTTGAGCCAAGCCTCCCCAGCCATGGCACAGGTGGGTAGCGGAAGCAATCTCCGTCGCAGCTCACTAGCCTGGAGAAAAATATTGCAAGTAGTTTGTCCTCACTTTTCACAATGCTGGACCATGCTGGACCTCTCTCTTCATGCTGATAATGTGGAATGTGGAACGAAGGGAAAACGGAGGGTGTGTGCGGACATGGGGTGAATCAAAATTGTTTCCACGAAGTTAGTGCGTGAAAAATACCTGCCGCGAAGTTCTGCGAAGGTCTCCGGGTCCCCGCTGGGGTTAGTGTTTTGGTATCGTCACGGTGAAATGCCTTCAAGTCACGAGTATTCACCCGAAAGGATACCCTGACTATTGCCGCCAAGCCAGTCGACCCGTGCACATTCGGCCCCCAAACCAAACCTATGTAAACCGTCGTCGTAGTAGTAGTAGTAGTAGTCGTAGTCTTAGTCGTAGTCGTAGTCGTAGTCGTAGTGGTAGTGGTAGTAGTAGTCGTAGTCGTAGTAGTCGTCGTAGTCGTCGTAGTCGTCGTAGTCGTCGTAGTCGTCGTAGTCGTCGTAGTCGTCGTAGTCGTCGTAGTAGTAGTAGTAGGTAGTGGTCGTGGTTGTGGTAGTGGAAGTAATACAACACGGCGTTCCACGAAGGGCCCGGACCTACCACGAAGTTAGTAGAACGTGTTTTTGCTAAACCCTTTCTGTGCACGACCCTTCCGTTTGTCTCTGATGGAAGGTGCAGGGTTTCAGACGTCCCCAAGCAGGAAACAAGTGCAACACAATTGCAACCAGACATGATGAGTGAAGCAGTTGCGCAGTTTTGTTGCATTCTCTTTGCATCGTTGCACTTCTTGTGGCAGTTTGTTTACACTTACCACCTTACTTTCTAGTGCACATATTTTGAATTCTCATGCTGTTTGAGTGGAAGAATAAGTGCAATTTGGCCAGGTGGTCAGCGAAGTACTATTGATGAAATTGGGATACAACACATGTAACACACGCACGTTGAAGAAGTTGTGGCTTGCTTTTCTTGGTGACATCGGCAGCTCATTCCTCTACTGGAAAAAAGGACAAGCGAAGCTCGACGCCCAAACTCTTCAGGCTCTTCCGCCTCTCTCTCCAGAGAGGCCAGCCGCGGCTTGGCCTGCCACTGAAATTCAGACTCTCGTTGATATGTCCAAAAATTATTCACAACTATTGTTCTTCTGGTTAAAGTCGAGGACAAACAAACAAGATGCGTAGCAGCATCTTCATCCGTCTACGTGGGCATGGACGAGTTAGAAAAACGGAAACTAGTACTGCACGTTCTTCCAAGCAACAGCCCCATGAAGAATCGTGAAAGCTGCCAGTCATCACCCTAAAACCAGTTCAGGGAAGTAACCCGGCAAACTGGGTAAATGTGTTTTAAAGCCCGCTCCCCTCCCTACTTAATTAAGTAGGCTCCTACTTAATCAAGTAACGGAGAGGTAGTTAGTACCTTAGAAGCCTTGTGGCACGAAGTCATACAATGTCCGCGCCTTCAGGGTCAAAAGCTCGCAAATGTCCGAGCGCAAATCCTGCATCCAACGAAAAGGTCTCAAAAGGGCTCTCTTTTGCTACAAGCTTGGCTTTGCAAGAGTTGCAGTGGTGTTTTGGCCTTTTGCATTATCTACAGCAGCACTTGTTCTCAAAATCTATATATGGTGGTTGATCAAAATTCCTTCTTGCTGGCAGGCCATTCTTCGCGAAAAAAAAATTTACTTTCGCGAATCTTTCGCGAACTCCATGTTTAACTTTCGCGGGGGGTATACCCTCTAGAAATCATAGTGGTTCTACATAGCAGCCTAAGCACTTCCATCAAGCACCATTTTGGATCTGCAGACGAGGTTGCGGCACAAGGCAGATTGGCGAGAACTCTCAATCACCACCATTGGATGAATCAGCAGAATTGGTGGAGGACGAGCCGGAAGAGCTATCAACGGTTGTTGCGCTCATGTCTTGCTAGGTCTGTCGCTGCTTGGCTTGGGCAGGGGTCCACAAAATAAACCTTCACATTCGCCTATGCTTTCGCGGAACTTTCGCGAATCTTTCGCCAAAAATTGTCGCGTCATTGGTGGGTTTCTAGGCGCACAGCGTAACAACCAGTGGCAGCAGCACGAGGAGTAGTAAGAAGTGGTAGTCGTAGTGGTAGTGGCAGTAGCAGGAACAGCAGCAGCAGCAGCAGCTGCAGCAGCAGGAGGAAGAGGAGGGCATGGCTTCAAGCCTAAAAACTGCATGTATACCATATAGTATAATAATGTATAATAGATTCTTTCGCAGATCTTTCGCAAAAAAAAAAATACTTTCGCGAACTCGAGAAAAAACTTTCGCGGACAACTTGAAGAGGCTCTCAGTGGCATAGGCCTTATGTCGACCTTTCGATCGACTACCATATATATATAACCCCATCCCAAGGAGAACCTACAGTAAAGCTATGCACTGTTCTTCCAACTTCCATTACAGAAAACAAGTGGGACGCTCCTTGATTTGCGTTTGCAAACTCTCGACCTCGACATGCGAAGTATTCCAATACAATCGTGCATGGTTCGTTAGTACAGTAGGGCCCACAATCTGTGGTGCTTGTACAGTGTACCTCATGATTGCCAGGTTTATGTCAAGAAGGTCCGCCAACCATGGAAAAGAAAAGGCGCAATATTGAAGAGCCCCGAGAGAAGGATCACCCCCGCATGAATGAATTAATCAAGCTTTGGGCCAGGGAAAGAAAGTTGTGTTTCTTCTCCACAAAAGTTAAACCAGAGTGAACTACACAGTCATAGCACTGTTTAAGAAATCACACAAAGAACCATGTAGATATCTTTAGCTCATATCCATCATTATATCTGTATTGTGTGTATGCCGTTGTAAGATACATCTTGTAGGGCTGGTGCCCACCATAGAACGTGATTGACGTGGCATTCAGCAAGTTCCCAACTTGGCGATCTCGAAGAGCCCCGGCTTGCTCCACCTGCAGGGCACATAAACCTGTGTGCATCTGGGGACTCTGGAAATTTAGTAAAATCTATCTATTCAATACATTCGGTAACAATTCAAGCAGCATTCCTTGAAAAACCGAAGTTTGCTCCGTACACAGTGAGGCACAATGTTAGTTAGTGACTCTGCTAGCAAGAGCCAACTCGGACTGTCCAAAGACATGGTCCCTCCAATGGATTGGTATATTATATAATTAACCACTTCTGGCCTAAAAAATCCTCTGGCCATCTCTGGCCCAACCGACTCCCGGCCAGCCCATTTCTTTTTACTTCTTCACAGCCAGCGCAAGGCACGGGCACTCACTTCATCATCCGTTTCTCTTGCAAGTTGACCTGGAAGCATCCAAGCGTCCAGGCACAAGCTGTGTCCCCGCTAAGACATTGTCTGGTGACGTGTTTACTCAAAGGCCTTGCACCAAGACCTTGAAACTCTCCGACAGCAATCAGCAAAGCAAATGCAAAGGCTGCAATGCGGCTGCAAGTTTGCGATCTCATCTTGCGGTGCATGTCACAGCCAGAGCCTCGCCTTGTCCACAGTTTGTTGAGCAATGCCCCCAGTTGTGCCAGATGCGGTTTTCGGATCAAACGTCGGAAGCCACTTGTTCCTGTCCAGCAAAACTTCAAGCCAAAAGCAACACCACAAAATTTGCTGACTAAGTTCAAGAACTCAGCAAAGCCCTGGGAGTGAAGGAAGCGGACACGGTTGGCCTTTTGTAGCACTTTGTAACAAGTCTGTCTATCACTCCCATCCCCAAACACCAGCGGCTTTTGGCGACACTTGCATCAGTCAGGGTGCCTCCCTGAGCTGGCAGCAGTCTGGATATCCACCGGTCAACCATCACTTGGGATGGAGAATACTTCGCACCTCACCGCAACTCCTCTGAAATTGGGCGGGGCGGGTGCAAGAAACTTGGCATTGCCTGAGCAAAGAAACCTGTCAAATAGAAGCCGAACCACCTGAGCACACAAACTCTAGAATCACAAGGTTGGGAAGTTTCGGTGTGGGTGATTCCCTTATACAGAGTACCCCTGCAACGTTCCATAACGTATCCCCAAACACAACCGCCTTTTGGCGACAGTCGTATCGCAAACTAGATGCATCGGAGCCTCTGCCCGGAGCACCTCGCACGAGTTGCCACCCGGCTTGCACATCGGATAAAGAGCAAGCCGCTGAAACCAACACGAATCCTTCTCCAGACACCTCACCAATCCTTCTGCACGCCGCCTGCAAACGAGCTGCAATTCATTCAAGAGGCAGCTGCGCTTCTCAGCCAGCCGGGAGTCTCGCCAGGAGCGACCCCAAGTTCGATCTGCCACCCAACCCACTTCAGCGTGTGCCACGACAAAGGGAGTCCAAGCGCCCCCGCCCACATCATGCTTAGACACGCCATCACTGACGCGCAGTGCGCGGGAAACAGCGCCAACAATCAACATACACCCAGTAAATTAAGTGATAAAACTGTTGATGAACACTAGCACACCTGAGCACAGAGTCTCCAGATATCACAAGGTTGGGAAGTTTGGGTGCGGGGTGGTTCCCTTATTATGCAAAGTATTCCTGCAACCCTAGGTTTCTCAGTTTATAAAATTTGGCCACGTCAAGTTGAAACCAACATTTCACAGATCACCTGAAGCGTTGGATCAGATTCCTACAAGCCACAAGCTGGGAGTAATTCACAGCTGCCCTGTCCTGAACCACTCGATGGTGTCTGGCCACCCTTCTCGGTAGGAGACCACTGGTCGGTAGCCCAAGTCTGTCTGCGCAGCGGTGATGCGAAACCACCTGGCACTGAGACATTCTGAGACTATGTCTCAGAGATGTGAGTCAGGCCGGAATGAAACCGACCAACCACGTGAGTTCATCTCAGCCCCTAAAGATTTGCAGGGGTCCTGTGCTCAATCGGCCAAGGTGACTTGAACAATTCTTAAAATGCTGTAAACAATTGCTGGGCAAAAAACGAACAGGGTGCCATAGAGATCCTGAGCCACAAGAGACCTGCATAGTTAATCGAGGTCACCCCGTTCCCGAGTTCCAGGCTGGAAACACACAAAATATGATAAGACACGTTGTCAGCTACAATGCTAGCTAGCCCTCGCCAACGCTTGCAGCAGCGTGACTCACTCAAGAAGTTCCAACAAGCAATGTGAGACTCTCCAACACTCCGTCACAGATTCACGGACCCAAAACCTCCAAGTCATTTGCAAGATTCAATTGAGAATGCTCGAAGATGCGTAGGCCGTGTCTTGCTCCAATGAATGTTCTATCCTTACAGTAGACCCCGCTTTTCGGAGGTGCCCTTTTTGCCCCGAGACGGCCACCAAACAAAGCACAAAAGGGCAGCAACAAAGTCTTGGTGAACTTGGTGATGCCCTTTTTTGCTGCGAGATTGCCCTCGAACAAAGCTCAGAAGGGCACCAGCCCAGAAATGCGGCTTAAGGGCTTTTCTTCGGCTCTCTGCATCTAGATCTGTAAAACACACTGTTTTTCCATACCCGCACCGACAATTCACCTCAAGCAGCAGCTCGCAAGATTCAATTAGACAGATCGAAACGGCATCGGCAAAGTCCTGACTTGTCAAGGGCCTCATCGTCAGAACCTGCTTTTCGGAGATGCCGTCATGCGAAGTTCATAATGTAAATAGTCCGTTGTTGCATCACTCGTATCACAAAAACTCTCATATAGCGACTGTCCACCAACGTTTTTCGCTCTTCCGCAGCAGGCTCTGGGATCACCCTTCCGAACCTGTCTTTTTTGAACAATGCCCGCACACAGACCCTAAAACTCACTTCGTTCGCCTAAACAGAACTTCAGCGCAGCGTATCGGCTGGCTTTCGAAAAAAGAAAAAAACACGCACACTGCTGGCCCTGGATGGAAACAAACTGACGCCGTCTTTGCTGTGTTGCCAAAGCTGCAAGAAGTGCTGCATGGAAACAAACTCAGAAGACAACAAACGATTTGAACCTCAGCAAATGCGCGCGCCTGTTCATTGTAAGCATCCGAAGAGTAAACCAACCTAGCTTCAGTTTTTTCCCGGTCATGGCACTGATTGCATCGCAAATGAAAGCCACTATCCTGCAGGTGGTGGCAAGTCTGACAACTTGTTTGACCAGTTGCCATTGTCTTGATCTGAAATCCATGCAGAACTTCAAGCAATCTCCCTGTTCAAGAAGAGCCACGCACAGGTGAAAGGTGCCTGATTCATATATATATATATATATTCTATAGTGGCCCTCCGTCTTGACATGTTGATCTTTCAAAAGGACCAAAGTCAAAGTCAATTATGTCCATTGACCAAAACCTCTGCAGACATGCAAAGGACGTTGTTTTGTTTTGATGTTTCTCCAGGAATTCCAGCGATCCCTATTGCTACTATGGTGTCTACCTACCTGTAGAAAACTGACGCTGTTGGCAATTTGTGTCATTACAGTTGGCAATCTGTGTCATTAGGCCATTGGGACTTCCTTGATGGAGAAGAACAAACCACTATTTCGTCAAATCATCTCTTCACAACTCCAGAACTCCTCAAAAGAAAATACGGCAAGGCCATTTTGCCTCGGTGCGGGAGACAAGTACAAACTCAACACAGAACGGCTCAGACATGGGATGAAACCTTAGGGTAGTTACCCCGAGTCCACCAACTTCCGCCAGGTTGCTGTACAGCGAATCGAAGCCCATGCCCACCACTGCCTGATCCAACTCCTCCCAGAAGATACTATAGCCCTGTGCCATGGATGAGCTTCTGACATAGACTTGATCATCAAATGCCAATACATGCCAGTGCTGGCTACACTACATACTGTACAGTAGTTGCTCTTCAGGCTGTTACCCTCTATCTAGAAATCTAGAAGGCAGCGTGGAGCAGCTGTAGTGTGAAGTGAACACAGTGGTGGCTACAAATTCTCAAGGTCAATTTTGGGAATGGGAAGTAATCCCTATTGAGAGTACAGTTCCTTTTGCCAAAGGTGGGTGAAGCCCTTCAAGGGTCACTTTGCATCCTGGTAAAGGTCCGTGCCTCAGGATATGGGTGGGTTGCCCCATCCGTGCAAACATAGAACTTGCCTCGGTTTCGTAGCACGGAGGAATCAGGGATTGTTGGTAGACGCACTCGTGCATCGAAGCATACCTCATCAAGATTGCTCCTGCACACCTCAAAGTGATGCAGAACATTGTCTCCCACCAGTGTAGAAAGGCATAATGGATAGCGTGCAGCACCACCATACATGGAGCATAACATTGTGGTGACCGTCTCGACACAAAGTGCATACACCAGCATTGGTATATCAGGGGTTGGGGTTAGAGCTGGCAAGACAAGCAAAGACATTGATCCTTGGATATACAACACAGATCGCGCTGTCTGTGTTGATCTGTTTTTTCTGTTCTTTTTCTGCGCTAAGGTTATCAACACTTGGTTCAGGTCTATTTGTGTGCAAAATGGATATTGTTATTATTGTGAATTATTGCATTACGTAGGTTCAATTCATCAAATGTCCAACCCATTTTGTCCCACCGCCAGGACTCGCAAGTTTGATTCGACCTTACAGCTCAATTGTTTCATGTTTGTTGGTCATACTCTGTATTTCCAACCAAGGCGCCCAAATATGGAGAGTTCTCGTAGATCTGCTTCTCTGCGATGATCAGTCCGTGGCAGTAGTTGTCCACGTGAGTGTAACTGGGGATTTCCAAGTCCAACGTGACATATGCCACTCATTGACGGATCTTACTATATTTTGCCTTCCACTGGAAAGGTAATTAAGGTGTTCCATACCCACGTATCGTTTTGTGGTCTAAGCCAACGTGACTTTGTTCCATCGTGAGCTCAAATTATTCTCAGAATTGGAAACAAAGTGCTTGGCATCCTCCAATCGTTTGGGTTCTGTATCCTTAATCCAATCCTGCATGCGACAACCAATGCGATACAAACAGACTGAATAGAACATGGCCCACCGCAACAGCATCTGCCCTTGTCTTGTCCACCCAGGATTCTGCCGAGAAGCCCTACACGGCTCTTGCCAGTTCCAAAAATGCGAAGCTTGCCCACGCCAGCAGCTTCTAAGAGGTTTGGAAGAAAAAGATTGTCACCTCAGGTTGCAAGCGAATCAAATTTTGGTAATTGTGCAAGCCTAGATCCCAGATCGCAAAAGATTTGTGGGCAGCACGCAGCAGCACCCTGCAGTGGCATCAGCACCCAGGCTCCAAAGCGCACACTGCCGTAGGCATCTGGCAGCAACACCCTGTAGCAGCACCAGCATCCAAGCTCCAAAGCACATGCCCATACACATCTGGCAGCGGTACGACACCGCTGTAGACATCTCGCAGTACAGTAGCTCCCTGGAACCTTGGAGCGGGACCGGAACCGGCACCAGCGCGCAGGCTCCAAAGCGCACACATCCATACACATCTGGCAGCGGCGCCCTCCAGCGGCACAAACCGCACCAGGCACCTCTTCCTATTTTTGAATTACAAGCCAAACTAGCTCTCGCCGCGAAAAACACAAACAGGTGCTGGCTTGTTTCTGAAGTCAGCAAGTTCAGGCCACACAAAGCTATCAAGGCTATCAAGGCGCACAGCATGAAAACGTAAATTGGACGCACTATTTGGGAAGGGCCGCCTCCCAAAAATTGTGATGGCCGGACGTGAGACATAGTTTCTGGTGTTAGTGCCCCGTAAAAAAGATTACGGGGGACTGTGAGAGTGCAGTTTCTTCGCTGCATTTGCTAGGTTTGAACTCTTCAATGACTGGACTGTAAAAATGCCTGTTTTGACTCAAGGACAGCTCATGGAAGATTCTACGTTTATTCCAATTTATGTTTATTCCAATTTCGTTATGTTTAATTCAATTTACTGGTAACTTATTGTTTGTTTCATTTCAATTCAATTCTTATACAATTCAAACTTAGTTGTTTTGCAATTCAATTCCAATTCAATTCTATTGTTTATCTATATAAATAATTTGATTTATTCCTGGTTTGATTCTAGTTTACTTCTAATTTGATGTTACTTTCAAAATTGATTTTAGTTATATATATAATTATATATATATATCCCAAAAGCGCTCTATTAAAACTATTATGTAAAAAGCATCACCTCCTCTGTAGAATTAAATTAGAATTGTTAAAGAATTAGATTAGGATTAAATTAGAATTGAATTAGAACTAAATTAGAATTCAGTCCGCATTGAATCATAATTAAATTAGCATTGAAACAGAATTGAATTGGAATTGAAATAGAATTCATTTAGAATTGTAAAAGAATTATCAAAATTAAGATTGAACTAGAATTAACTTCAAATTACAGTACTTGAACTAGAACTAAATCAGAAGTAAATTAAGATTCAAATGAATTAAACTGGAACTGAACTAGAAGTTGTTAACTCAGAATTCGATTGGAATTGAAATCGAAATAACAAAGTCAGCCATTAGAATTCAAGTAGACTCAAACTAGAATTCAATTTAGAATTAAATTAGGGTTAAACTAGAATCTATATATTTTAGTAAATTAGGATTAAACTAACTGTTAAATAGAAATCAACTAAAATTGCAAAGCAATTGGAATTGAATGACTTGAAGTTACATTGAATAAAAAAGAAAAGCGAGTTCAAATAGACATCAGTTTCAATTAAATTCGAACGAAACTAGACTTGAAGTAGAATTAGATTAGATTTCAATTAATTACGATTAAAATGTAATTAACATATTTAAGTTGCAGTTGAATTAGAATTTAATTATATAGATTGTTTAAATTAATTAGAATTAAACCATGCCCAAGTCTCTCAATCTGGGGACAAGAAGGCTGGAACCAAGTGCCGGAGTCATGAAGTAGAATGCTATTATCTAATCAGGATAATCCTGATTAATCAGGATCAGACGAAACCTCGAGAAAACATGTTCAAAAAACAAACTCTTCTCCAGTACTCTTTTGCAGACAAAGTGAGGCATGGCAAAGACCTCCAGAATAGTGTGTGTGTTCTCTATATTTTGTTGCTTTTTTGGTTTTCTCAAGATTGTGTCTCTATATTTGTCTCATTGCAAATGACATTGAGGCAGCTTTCAGAGGCACATGGCACGAAGGCAGGCAACAGTGGAAAGTTTATGGCGCACATAGACAAAGAACATTCATGCAGAATCATGCAGATTCTCTTAATGCATAGCAAATACGCACTCTGGTGGTCCCCTGTTTTGGAGTGCACCGTTATGATGGCCTGGCAGCGCACCGGAAACACCCTTACCAAGACCCAAAATGATTGCATGCCTGGTAGTTTGCTGGAAGAAATTTGTCGGCAGCTCCACCTTCCCTGATTACTTGCGCAAAGTGACTCCCGTCACAACACAGTTTTCATCGAGCAACTGCGCCTGCTTCCCACCCTTCCCCCGAGCTCCGCACGTGGCCCGTAGACTGTGTGAGGGGCGACCTTGGAATCACGCAAAGAGCCCTGTGAATTCGCACAAGTGGTTTGGAAGAATCAAAAACTTGGGCTGCAGGTCAACCTCACAACTGTTATAGAGGTTTTCAGTACCGCTCGCCGCTCGCCAAAGTTTTTTGATATGAATGCGACATCTCTCAAAGGATGCAATTCTTTTGTCCAACCTGCTTTCAAGAGCTCCTCTTCTCTCCCGAAAAGACCACGTTCTTTCCCTGGATTCGCCCTTCCAGCCAGCAAATGGAGGGAAGGAAGGGGCTCAACCTAAACATTATCAGGAACATAGAGGCAGCCGGCAGCCGGAAGTCCATCTGAGACAGCAGAACATGGCAAGAAGCCTGTGGCCTCTGCCTTCGGCCTATCCGTTGCCTTGTCTTCAGGGCTCTTGCTGCCCCATCTCCTTCTTCTCCTCCTCCTGCTTGACAGTGCACCGCTTCTTTCGCTTCTCCTGCGCTCGTGACCAGCTCACTCCTCTGCTCTTCCTTCGCTGCGATCTGCTTGCCCTTGTCTCCTTTGCCAGATGCAGGTTTAATTTGAATGCTTTACCATCTTTTTTTCAACCTCTTCATTTGCCACTGTCTCAGGGGTGGACCCCTTCTTACCTGCTTTCTCTTCAATCTTTGGAAGGGGAGCTCCGGTCGCGTCCACAATGCCCTGAAATGTTCCCTCTTGAAATCTTTCACAAGTTCTCCCAAGCGTTCCAACCACATTCTTCAAGCAGTTCCAAAGTTCACCTGCTGAAAGCTCAAACACCTCGTAGATGCCGATTGGAGGATGCGTGTCAACTGGTAGCAAGCTTTGCAGTGCCCCGACTCGATCAACTGCAGTTTCAACCAATTTTGGTAGTGAACATGTAGGTATATACTCATAACACTCATTAGTCACGACAATAAAGGTTTGCAACTCTTTATATAACCTTAGGGGCGGAGTATGATATTGACACATGCGGTTGCTGCACAAAGACTCCTCCAGGATTTGTGCATCCTAGGGGCAGCGATGAACATGATCTCCCCGGCTTTGCAGGCCTGAAACCATCAAGTGAGTCGTGCAGGTGAGTGCCAAAAACAAAACTGATCTTGTCAAAGTCTAATCCTCACATGAGCAATTGAAAAGATTTGGGCATCAAGCACCACATTCTGGTTTGCAGGGAAGAAGCCCTCCTTCATAGACTGAGCTTCCAGGTTCAGAAAAGGTGCTTAAACTGGGACTCTACATGGAGCTCCGATGGACTGTTGGAGCTTGACCAATAGCTGGTTGCTGGACAAGTCGAGGAATCTGGTGAAACCAACCTGATACCAATGCCATTGATCCTAAGATTGTCTCATCCCCACCCGGGGATAGGTGGCCAAATCATGCCCAAATCTCCCCGTTTGTAAAAAATGAACTTTCTTGTTTAGCAAGCAAATAACATCAGACAAGGGGTTCTGCGGAGCTACCCAGTGTTCGTGACGGCAAAAGTGCGTCCTTCAAAAATGCGGAGGTGACACGGTAAGACCGGAGAACGGAAAAACGGCAACAGCAACTCCCTTTGTGTTCGCAATCCATTCAATCAAGCAATATTTCCTTTCGTTCTGTCACTTCATACAGCTACTAGGCAACAACCACTTGATTGAAACTTTTCACAACACCACACCATTGTACCCAAGGAAGAGAACGTGACATCATATCATCAATGTCAGCCAAAAACGAAGGGAAAAATTGTCAAAGAAACCAAAAGAAGCCCGAACGTCCCAACACAAAAACGAGAAAGCAGCATTTAAATAGCTTTGATATGTATGTACTATGAAGAGACATTAGTGCAGTAGCTGTTATAACTATATGGTGCGCTTTTTTATGCTGCAAGTGCAGGCAAGCCATGGATTTGTAAGATGCATATAATCTTCTCATCCGGCGGTGGTGTTGTAGATTTGGTTGTGAATTGACATGTCAACAGCTTGGTGAAACAGAGAACGCGAAGTTGACACAATGCACTGCCTGAAGATGGACCCTTTGATGCAAGAAGAAAATACAGGGGCAATATTCGTGAATGAGAAGAAATACGGTATGTTTCATTTAATAAAGGGCACAAGAACAAAAAGAAAAACACCATGAAGGTGTGGTCCGAAACTAAGTTTGCAATTCATGACTAGGTGATAACATGTTTTACTATGTTCTGTGGACATCAGATTTGAGTTGCGTTCGTTAGTGACTATCTCTCGTTTGCACGAAGTACAAGAGTGCATGCCTTCTGTCTGTGTTGAGAATACAATATAACACATTGCTTTTTTCACTGTGGATTCTTTGCGTGTTTCATCGTTTCTTCTGGTGCTTGGGGGTCATTTTGGGTCGCCTCAGCCACTTCAGCCTGCGTGGATTCAAAATCAACAACTTGATCTCCAAGATTAGAAGCCGTTTGTCGCTTTTACATGCTTCTACCATAACCATCCAGGCTTTGGCAGAAAAATAAAGGCTACAGAAGTTTCGAGAAGCAGTTTGCATCATGATCACTATGTTATATATACATAGACAGCTCGCTTGAATATCTAGCCTTCAATTAAAGCAACTAAACACTGGTGAGCCAGCTTAGGATTTTCCGGCTGACCTGGCTGCATGTTAGACATGGCCACGTACCCGCCTTCTGCTACAGTACATGGACATGGAAAGCACATGAAAGCACAACTTATTTAAAGCAACTAGGAGACAATCCTAAACATCGTTTCAGTTGGCCGCCCAATGCAAGTTGGACATGAATGTTCACACAACAAATTGACTGCAGAATCTGCAAGCCCCTTTTCTGCAAGTTCCACGCATTCATCTCGCCTTCAAGCACTGACCCCGGCCTGTCGGAGGAGCAGTTCGCCTTCCGCTTTTGTGGCCGAGTACTCTGCCACATAGGTCTCCTCCAGTAGAAACGGTTTTGCTGAACAGTTGGATTCGTTATCCTCAAAATCAATCAAGCATTTGGATGCATTTGGGGAGTGTTGATTGAATCCCACCCGCTGGGTCAAAGAAGTTCATCACTACTGGCCTAGCAGGAAGACCTGCCATGGACTAGAATCACTAGAATTGGCATGATGTGTGTCAATATGATTCAATATGAGCTGATCTCGGATGACCCACAGTGAGTGCAAATCCCACGGGCTCCACAAGCAGCACGGGTAGGTCAACGGAGTATTCCAGAAACATATCCGTTCCCCACTGATGCTGAGGCCCAAACCAACTAAAAAAACTAGGGATCCTCTGCCACTCCTCTCCTGAGGAATGTCAGGCATCTCAGCCTCAGAAGAAACACATGCACAAAAATAGAAACGGACATCTACACATCTGCATGGTCGCAGTAAGGATCAAGTCTGTGGATACAACTCGTGGCATAGGTGTGCGAGGCATTTCCTCTTTGCACATATAATATATAACCCTTGTCGGTGCGCATACAAAAAATACATACACCACCCACCCACTCTGAAAAAAAAGTAATAATGTGTGTCTTGGTTTGCTGCTGTTTGCTGGTATGTTTTCCCGAGAGCGCCTCATCTCACATCTTCGCATCTACGCATCTCTCTCTTTCCCTCTCTCATTCTCTCTCTTCTCCCTCTCCTTCTCTTTTCGTTGATATTATCTTTCTCTCATAAGCCGGGGGCAGTGCTGCAACGGCGCCACAAAATGCAACCCTTTCGCACATAATATGTGTCAAGTGTCAAAAATTGCAGGGATATGATGACCCCTACGTCGTCAGATAGGGCCCTGGGGGGGGCCTCAATTAATACAAGAAATTGAAGGGGCACATACCTGATTTTTTGACATTAATTGAAGGATGTCTTTAACCCCTACCCCCCTAACTCATCGACCTCTCACAAACCTCTCAATTAAGTGGCAAACCCCCCATCCACAGCCATGCCAACGTAATATGTGAGCAGCCGCATGCACACCAAGCAGGAAAGCAGCCACCACACTCAAAACCAGGCAACAAAAATTAATTCAGGGGGTGTTGGCATCTGGAGGAGGGGTCAATTAGTTTATGTGGCAAGACAAAAACCAGGCAGGAAAGCAGCAACCACACTGAAAGCCAGGCAGGAAGTACCCACCACACTAAAAACCAGGCAGGAAAGTGGCCACTGCATGCAAACCAGCCAGGAAAGCAGCCATCCCATTCAAAACCAGGCAACGCAGATTAATTCAGGGGGGTTGCCCTCTGAAAGGGGGGTCGATTGATTTAGTTGGCTAGCTTGATCCAAGGTTCACTGGGAACGTGCCAGATAATCTGTTTGTATCCGACTTAAAGTTGTCGATAAGTCGTCGGAGAAAAAACAATTAATTGGGAAAAATAATTCGTGGGTAACCCCCCTCCAATTACAGTATATAATTGTTGAGTGGAGGGGTCATGGAATATTGTCATTTCAAAGTGTGTAACTGCTGTCGAACACGAAGGTGGCAGTTGCCTATCACCGTCGTCGAAAACAAAGGCGGCGCAGAAGTGTGTAACTGTCGTTGCAAAAATGAAGGTGGACATTGCCAATTCAATGAGTCTAACTGCTGTCGAAAACGAAGGTGGGCGTTGCCAAGTGTGTAACTGTTGTGGAAAGTGAGGTGGGCGTTGCTGAAGTGTGTAACTGTCGACGAAAATGAAGCGGGGCGTTGCCAAAGTGCCTATAACTGTTGTCGAAAACGACGACGGTGGGGGTCGCCAAAGTGTGTAACTGTCGTCGAAGTTGAAGGTGGACATTGCCAAATACCTGTTGTTGACAACGAAGGTGGGCGTTTCCAATGTCACTGCCGCGGAAAGCGAAGGCGGGCGTTACTAAAATGTGCAACTGTCGTTGACAATGATATGGGGGAGCTAAAGTGTGCAACTGCCGTTGCAAATGAAAGTGGGAATTGTCAAAGTGTGTGTAGTCGTCGAAAACGAAGGTGGGCGTTGCTAAAGTGTGTGTGTGTGTGTGTGTCCTCGAAAACGATGACCAATGGGCAGGGCAACAATTTGCCCACACCGGCTGCATGAGAACATGTACTGTACAATCATGCCTTGCGAGACCAGATCCCTTATGTAAGGCATTGAAATAAATGAAAATTGAAAATCAATCCAGACATGCTTTTTAAAACACATGTGCACGCATACGAAAAGCATCTGGCCCACTGACAAGACACATGGAAGCATCTTGCCAACCAAGACTTACATATCCACATGTCAAGCCCCACTGGGTATCGCGCCTCAGTCTGGCCATCGACATCGTCCGTGCAAGTGAAGCGTGAGGAGGGTGTGGACGAGAACACAACCTTCCGTACTCCTGCTGAACTGTCAAGTGAACACTGGATTTACATCCAAAGATTGAAATCTTCTGTGTGCCGTGATGTGAAGCAAACAAGGCCAGCGCCGACACTCCTTGCTTTTTGCATGCCTCGAGCACATTGCGCGTTCCAAGCACGTTGACCTGTCGGGCAACTGAACTGAATCTGACATTGTGTGTGTGTTTGTCTTTTTCTGGTTGCTGGAAAAAGAGAAAGAGAAAGCGAGAGAGAGAGAGAGAGCGCGCCACACCAAATGCTGTACAGTATCAAAAACGGGCGCAGCTAAGATTTCGTGACCCTCTCAGTGTACCAGTGCACCCCATGAATAAAAGGGAGCCCAGTCACGTTGTGGTAGAAGTGCTTGGGCAAGAAGGGCCCAACTGCAGCTGCATTGTGCCACACACAATCTGCACCTCCACACTCCACACCCAGACTCTATGTTTTCATCTACCAGCACAACACAAGCAACTTGCTGCACCTTGGACTGCCTCTTCTACAGCAGCCAGGCTACACAAGTCGCCAGTGACATACTTGATAGCCTGCAAGTGATTAGAATGACGTGGCGCAGGGTCATCTTGGCTCACCATCGACGGTCTTTGTAGCAATTCAATACACTACTGTGCGGCGCCTTCTACCAGATACTATGACGCGCGCTGTAGCTCTAAATAGTTATATACAAAGAAGGACTTCACATGATGTCAAGCAAATAACCCTGCTGCCCATGACGGCAGAACTGGTCACCCAGTTCAGGGCTGGAAACACAATATCCTGAACCCCAAAGTCCAGACAGAAGAATGAAAGTAAGTTGGCAGCCATTGGCACCAAACTCTGAAAGTTTCTGGAAGTTGGTACTTGAGATTGGGGATTGACCCAACAGGCCCAACAGACAGCTCCGCGCAACTCCAATCTCCTCGTGCTTCCAGACGTTCGCAGGTGGGGGTACGATGTCAAAGGACACCACCTCGCAGGTGGTACTTTTCTGGAAACCCCACATTTGAAGATGTGAGGCAGCCAACCATTGGATAACTGTTTGCTAACACAGACTTGCCTCTGTTTCATTCTTGGCTCTGCTCGGCTTACTTCAGTTGATGTTGACTCCTTGAACTGGAGATCCCATGCAAAACAAACCAACATCGGCAAAATGATATGTACCGTATGATGTCCACTACCCTGCTCATATAGTCATTCTGTCACATCTATCACCCTATATGCAATGACCCCTTCAACCACTGCACCACCTGCATTTAGCAATGCTCTCTGAAAATGGTCCCGATATCCTTCTAGCTCAACTCCAGGCCAAAGGCAGTTGTTGCCTGCGATTCGTCCTCCATTTGAATTTGAACTGGTTTATAGCTGGCCCACATGGCAACTCACATGGTTGCATGCGTGCCTAATAAGTAACATTCAATATCATTCAATAATCAAGTGTTTTGCGCCAGTACCAGCACACATCCTGACACATCCTGCATTCTGGTTTCTCAGTTGTAGGCGCAGCTGGCCCTTGTTTAGACTTGCAGGACGTCACACCATAGGGACTTGAGTTTTGGCCGACATCGCAATCCCAGTAGTCCCTCCATGCACTTGCCATGCTTGGTCACGCTTCGAGCTTGGTGCCAAAAGGCAAGTGGTCATTTGTCAATGCCTTATACCGGGTTGCACGCATTACTTGCAAGAACAGCACCACCTCGCGCCTGCTGGGCACCTCTCTCCACCAAGGTCTCCACCAAACGCTGCCCAACAAAGCCCAGGCCACCAGTGACCACACACTTCTTGGGGACCTGGGGACACAAGGCGCCGGCGTTGTTCAGGACCCTGGAGTTTCGAGCACACGCCACAATCTGGATGGTCCAAAACGCTGGGGTCACTAACGACGTTGGCAGCAAAAACAAACATATGATTATACAACCCTCAGAGATACAGGTTATTGTGTATCAATGGGCCCACAAAAATGACGAAATGTTAGACTCGGTTGAAGAGCAGAGCTGAAACTCAGCAGGGAGACGAGATGAAGCCAAATTAAGAAGGTTTTTTCGCGCGCGCATTCTTTGACAAATTTCGATTAAGGCAGGATGATTAAGGCGATTCTCTATTTGAGCTCCAAACATGCGTGAGCAATCCTCGGACCAAAGGTTTTCTTGACTTGACTTGAAACTTGTGTTCAAGAAACCTTTGCAATGGCCACCCACCAATGTGCAGGTGCAGAGCTTTGGAGCCTGCCAAACACCCAGCAACAATGACAATATTTCAAACTCCTCATCCTGAGACCCCAGACAGGTCCATACTCACCACTCTGGTTCGCCTGCCACATTGGACGAAGAAGCTGCAAGATTGAATTGACAAAAATCCTGCATAATCTCCCAGCGTCTCCTGACACGAAAGTCACGATACCTCTAGAAACAGAACCTTGTTCTGGTTTTCTCGCCTACCCGTGCTCGAACTACTCTGCAACATGACAATGATTATAATACAATAATAATATAATATTATATAACTAACGTTGCACATCCCTCTGGCCATGTCAACGAGATCTACAAACCAAAGGAGAACTTTCTCAAAAGCCAATCAGCCGCAGAGTTCCTCTGATTGCAGAAAGGGCTGTGAGCATACAGTACACAAAAATTAGGTCACCGAACGCCTCTCGGATCTTTTGCTGGATCGGTGACAGCTCCTGAGCAAATGCTTCAGCAAACCTCTCATATTTCGGTGGGCTTTGCAAAGGTAACACGATGATGCGTCTTCCACTTATCAAGGATGGTTTCAATATGTGTCAATGATCTTAGTGCATGCCGAAGGGGTGATCTGAATCTGATTGGCATTTCTACTCATCTGCTGACAAACATTTGGAGAAAATCGTTCTCCTTCTAGGCAGAATTGGGCCATATACATTTCTATATCCCCATTTATATAGTTGAAAGAATGGCCCCAGTGCCCTAGTCCCTCGATTTTTTGGCACTTTGCTGACTCCACCTCACTATGGTGAAGTTGTGTGGGGTTGTCTGTTCCAGCTGATGGGACTCACTGTACTGTGGTTCCAATATGGAATTCCAGCGCCAAAGCAAAATTCCAACAATAATTTAAAAAATGATTTGTGTTGTTTTCACAGCATTCGTGTGAGTGGGCCTAGCGATAGTACAAAGCGAACAAATTCAAGACACCTTCAATAACAAGGCAGCAGAGGCAAACAAAACGCCGATCACAAAACCACACAAGTGGGGAGACATGCAATGAGAAACAAGGCAGCAGCAGCAGCAGCAGTAGCACACAAGATGCAGATCACACACACAAGTGGGGAGACATGTAAGGAGACACACGGCAGAAGCAGCGGTGGACCAAAACGCCGATCAGTCACCCACTCACTGAGAAGTAAGGGCCTCTATTTATTGTTTTTTCCAGCCATCAGGCTAAAGAGTATGAGTAACACACGAGAAAGACACATCACAAGAACAACACGGAAAGGAAAAAAAATTAAAAACACAATTCAATCTACCAAGAGACAAATACACCAGCACTGACCCCAAATAGCAGCGGCAGCTTGAACCTTGTGACAGCTCTTGCCGACAGCTTTGAGCCATGAGAAACACATGAGACAAAGTAAAACAAAGCCGAGTCATCTCAGCCCAATCATCCAGCAAAAGCCGCGGGAGACAAAGGGAGACAAAGCAGAATAATCACACCCCGTTACCCAAGATGAGCCATGGGAGACAAAGGGAAACACTTCAGCCAGACTGGCCCCTTTTTCTTTTGGAGGAAGGGGCGTTGGAAGAGAAAAAAGAGCACCCTGAAGTCATTGCTTGTCTGCAGCTTGATTCCGTCTTTGTGGGTGGGCTCATAAGCCTGCGTCCACTCCCATCCACTCTTACAGTGCAGGCTATCCGCACCAAAGCCCAACCACTGACGTTCCCCTCCACTCTTATTCGCCAGGAGAAAAATTCATGGTTCGGAGACGTGCGTCTCACTTTCCTGCTGTATTTCCGACCTTTGTCCCCTTCCCTCTCCTATCCTCTAAAATTCGCGTTCTCTCCAGACGAAATTCTCGCTTCCTGGTGAGCTCCCCACCTCTTTTCCTATCACATCCTCCCCCGCTATGCGAAGACTGTTTACATTACCTCCTAAGCCCCTCATGATGCTAATGATGCACTCTTCACCGTCAATTACATCACTTGCATCATAACACCCCAAAAGCAATACATGTTCACTCCCATTCTGCCACCTTTTTTTCGCTCTCCCCCACCAGGCTCTGGGCTCCCCCTCCCAAATTGCCTTCCATGCGACCACCCCCCAGCACACCCCGTCACTTCGTTCACCCATCGACAACTCCAGCCTAGCCTATCGGCTGGCTTTCGTGACAAAACACACATCACAAGAATCAAGACGGAAGAAAACCATGAAAGAACACTACTCAAACTGCCAAGACGTAACAAACACTCAAAAAGCATGAGTAACCCAGATAAACACACATCACAAGAACAAGGGAAAGAAAAAGGTATAAGAGACACGCATTCCAGAATGATCCTAATTGCGTTCCAAAACGAAACCGGTTCCATCTACAGCCCCTTGAGGCCCCATGCATCAAAACACTGTACTGAATTCCCTGACTGGTCTTCAGGTCTTTCTGACAGAAGATGGGGATGTCGTGGAGCCCGAAACCAATGGAACTTGTGATCACAAACCCATACATCATGGCAGCTTTGCACCTTCCTCGGGAGTAAATAAACACATTGGGCTGCGCTGTTTTCGCTTGGCATAGGTATCAAAAAATAAAACGAGCGTCAAAAAAAGAGTATCAATTGGGCTTTGCCCCGGCACAGTAACAGTGACCACAAATCATACCACAAAAAAAAAGCACAGCAATTTAGCCATAGTTGGCATTAGGATGACTTTCATTTGCCCTTTCTAACGCTGGCTACATTAATCATGCGCTACAAAACCCTCAAGTCAACCCGATGCCTTTTTTCATCTGAGCGCAAGCAGTGAAGAAATGATCGACAATATCGATCCAGTCAAAAAGGCTTGGGGATTCTGCTGCCAGACAAAATGAGCTGGGCAGAGCTGGGCTCTGGCAGGCCGGGTAGAAGGGGAGGCAGAGGCCGGGCAGGGCGCCGGAACTGTGGGCGGCCCCGGTTCCAGGCCCGGGGGGGGGCGGGCTGCCCTTTAAAACAAAAGAAAACTGGAGGCCCGCTATTTTTAAAAGGAAAATGAAACACAAAAAAGCACAAAAAAAAGCACAAAAAACACACAAAACCGACCACAACTTAGTGGATTTTTTTTGTGCTTTTTTTTGTGGTCTGATTTGTGCTTTTTTTTGTGCTTTTTTTTGTGGTATGACTTGTGGT